GGAGGCCCGTGCCAGAGGTCCACACTCGGAGCAGAACCTGGCAACATCACCGAGCCGTGAAAAGTGGGGTCTCCCCTGCACCCGGTGACTTTCCTAGTTGGGCTCATTTCACCGGCCTCCCCCTCGCGAGTGGCTGATGCTGTCCCATCTCAGAGCTGAGGACGGCGAGGCCTAGAGGCGGCTGCCGCTTGTCTGAGGCTTCGCGTCTGCCGTGCGCTCCACGCACAGCTACTACCGAGCAGCTTTTGTGAAGGATTCTGGGGACAACGGAGCCCAGTGGGTGAAGCGGGGGGTCTCCCCTCTCTGAGACTTCAGTTGTCCTTTTCTGCTCGTTCTCCAGGACAGCACAGAACTGGAAACCTCCTGCCGCTCCCTGCGGCCCTGTTCTTCCCCCAAAGCCGCTGGGATCTGCACAGGACACCGCCTGGCAGGTGTTCGTCCAGGGACTGAGTGGGGCAGAGGAGGCCTTTGGTCTCTTGGGAAACGGGCTGGTCTTCCATCATGAGCACTTGCAGAGCACCTGGCCTGTGCTGGGTCCTGGGGTGCTGGGGTGCTCCTCGGGAAGCCCACAGATAAGGGGGAGCCAGACTGTCAGCAGGGAGGCTAGCCCTGCAGCTCAGAGCTGCAGCCTATTGCTGACCCACGCCACTGCTCTCCCCCGCTCTCCGAGGCCTCTCTCCTCCAGGCAGTGGCTCAGGGGCCCAGACTCCTCCCCTCTCATCAGAGGCCCCCATCAGCCAAGGATGGGGACACAGCATGACTGGTGGGCAGTGGCCATTGGCCAGGCCTGGAGGGACATAGGCCCCTCTGCTCACATTTCACTGGCCAGAGTTCTGTCCCATGGCCGCGCTGAGCTGCCAGGGAGGCTGGGCAATGCCACGGCACTGTACCCCAGCAGGAGGAGAAGCTGACGGTGGCGAGCCCCAGCAGTCTGCCAGACTCGTGCTTGGGGGCCCAGGGAAGTGGTGTGAACCGGAACACATTGGAGGATGAGGGGAGAGGCTGTTAATCACCCCTGGACAGCAGGGCCCCCGGACAGTCCCGCAGACTGAGCCTGCTGTCACCATGTGAGCACAGCCGTTGTTCTCCACGCTGTCTGCGTGTTTACCACCTCCGTGTCCTTGATGGAGTTACGTCCACCCCACAGAGGAACGGCGGAGGCCCGGTTTATGGAAGGGCGGGACAGAGGGGCCAGGCCGCTTAGCTGGCAGGCAGCTCAGCTCTGGAGCATGTTTAGGCCGCAGGAGCTGGGCGAGTCCTCGCTGGGGTCCTCCCTGCTGAGCACCGGGGCTCGGGGAGCCACAGCCCCCTTCTGGCTCTGGGAGAAATCCTGGGCCCCAGCCCCCTCCTCCTGCTCCCACCGGGCCCAGCGCTGAGGGCCACGGCCTCACAGGAGGAGCTGGTGGCCTGGACACCCCAGGCTGGCGGCCTGTCCAGCTGTGTGTCACCTTCCCTTTCACTTTCTCTCCAACTGGCGGCCTTCCGTCCCAATTTCCCCATTTCCTGTCGGGGCAGCGTTTCGCAAAGAAGGAGCCAGTTCCTGGAGCCCAAGGCGGGCCCAGCCAAGCCATTTCTTGAAGATGACACAGAAATGTAGGGACAGTGTGTTCTGGGAACACAGGACTGACCCAGAACGTGGAGTCACGCGGCTGTCGCACCTGGCTTGCTCTCCGCGCATCGTCCCCTGGTCCCTGGGAGAACTTGGTCCCGGCAGGGGGTCTTCTGTCCTGTACCGCCAGGACCCTTGGGTGGGAGGTCAGTGGGTCTGTGGCTCTCTGACCCTGTCTGTTCCCTTTGCCCTCTGCCCTCCAGGGGGCTTAGAGCTGGGGGCCATGGGCTCCTCTCCACCAAGGCCCCTGCTGCTCCCCTCCAGGGCCCCCACACACCCTGCCCGGCTCTCCCTGCAGACCCCAGGTCAGCGCTCAGAGCAGTGTGGGGTGGTGGCCTGTCCCTGGGTGTCCCCAGGTGGTCACTGGTGCCCTACTGTCTGTCTGCACCAGGTCTGGGCTGCCAGGAGGGGGCCACAGCACGCCTGGCCCCTGACCCCTTCAATCCCAGGGGTCGAGACAGACCGTGAACAGTCAACAGGCAAATAAACTAAAGTGCCAGGGTTGGCAGATGCTGTGAAGAAATGGGGTGGTGGCGTGTCTGGGGGCCGGGGCGCCCGCCTGGTGGGCGGGGAGGCGCGTGGGCCGTGACCTGTGAGCCGAGGTGGGCAGGGCGGGCGGCCGGAGCCGGTGGGAGACGTGGTGAGTCCCCACGGGGCTCCAGACGGGAGTGGGCGGGTCTGCGTCCTCGAAGTGTAAGTGCGGGGCCAGGGGACTGGGGGGGCACAGACACAGGAGTGACACATGGGCTGTCAGGAGGACCGCCCTGCCCCGCCCCTCACAGCTCTTCTGAGCGGGAGAGGGCACCCCGGAACCAAGGCTCCAAGGCTGGGGGGGTCTCTGGGCTGCCCCACCACTGATGCCGGCCAACCCCAGAGCAGGGGCGCTCCCCCTGCCCCACCACCACAGGCCCGAGGGAGCCCCTTCCCGTGCCTGCCACCCACACCCCATAAACCACCCACCCATTCACTATAGGAGACCCCCCACTGAGAGTCTGCTGGGGGCCAGCAAGGGGCGCTCGGGGTGACACAGCTGTTTCTCTCCTGAAAGTTCCCTATTCCGAGAGCCACTTAGAGGCTGTGTGTCTTGGGCCGAGGACCTGCCTCCCTGGCCCCCACTTCCTCTGCTTGACCCTGGAGCGGGTCACACCCCTGCGGCGCCTTCAGACTGGGACAGGGACGCTGTGAGCTAGGCTGTTTGGTGGGAGCGAGCAATGCCTGTAACTGCCAGACCCAGGTGCTTCTCGCTGCCACACTTGTCTGCCCGTCACCTGCCTGTCACTCCCCTGTGCCCCTCTCCTGTCTCCTGGTGAGCAGACCCTTCGTGTGCCCAGAACCAGCAAGGAGGTGGGCCTGGGCCCAGGGCATAGCCGGTGCCCTCGGGCGACTGGGAGTCTGGGGGCATGAGCTGGGTCCCCCCAGGGCCCGGGGCTGGTGGGTCCTTGGCCCAGGAACTGGAGGTGCCTGCCGCCCATACACTCACACGTGCACACTCACACGTGCACACACTCACATGTGCACACCCCGTGCACACTTACCATGAGCACTCAGTGTACACTCCTACATACACACATGCATACTCACCCACACCCACACTTCTAGTACACACATTCACACTCACACATGCACAGTCTGCACACATGCACACTCACGTGTACATGCCTACATACACACTCACATGTGCACACCCTACATACACACACGTGCACACCCCTCCATAAACCACTCACATGTGTACACCTATATATACACTCTCACACGTGCACACACATGCACTCATCTGCACGCCCATATGTATACACACGTGCACACCCCTACACACACACTCACACATCCACACTTACCCGCATGCACACCCCTCCACACACACTTACACGTGCACACCCCTATATACACTCACACATGCACACACCTGCATGAACACTCCTCCATACCCACACATGCACACTACTCCATACACGCTCACACATGTACACACACATGCACACCCATGTGTACACACTCACATGCACACCACTACGCACACACACATGCACTCATGTGCACACCCCTATGTACACACATGCACACTCAGGTGCACACCCCTCCATACCCACTCACACATGCACGCTTGCTCACATGTATACCCCTGCATTCACACATGTGCCACACCCACACCCCTAGTACACACATTCACACTCACATGTGCACACTCGCCATGCACACTTGCGCACACGCAGCATAGGGCCGAGTGGGCCTCTGGTCTGGGCATTTGACATCTGAGGAGGGCACTGACCCTCCTGGCACCAGGATGGGTTCCTTGGAGGTCCCTGAGGGGAGGTGCAGGGCCATGTCCTCGGTGGGGCAGGGGACGGCCTGAGCCAGCCCACACATGGACACAGCTGCCTCCCGGCCCTGTCTCATCAGGAGGAAAGCATCTGCCCAGACTCCGGGCAGGGGTTGTCTGTATGACCGACCCCGAGAGCCCCTGGGTCTGTGGCCTCCTGGGCCCCTTTGATGGAGTGACTGCAGGGTGAGGTCAGCACTGGGCTCTCAGATGGGCGTGGGTGGACGTTTGCTGGTTTGAGGGTGGGCAAAGCCTGGCCTCCCAGGGGTCCCCACTGAAGCTGGCGGCCTTGGCCGGGAGCCATCAGGCATCATGATTTAAAGCAGGCTGATCCAGGAGAAGCTTTGCTTGAAAATGCAAAGTATTTCAGAGACGACCGTCTGTTTGCAGAGAGATCTTCTCGTAGGACTCCTTCGAGCAGCCCGTGCTCCGTCTTAGTTATTATGAGGCAACGTGAAATGGGGAGGGTCGCACCACCAGTGCCCGCTTACCTCCCGCCCCGGTTCCCAGGCACCGTGTTTCATGGTGTTCAGTGTGGAAGTTTTCAAACCTGTGGGGACGTGGACATAGTTGTGCTGGACGCCCACATGCCCCGTCCGGGTCAACAACTGTGAGCACTCGGCCACACGTGCTTCACCTACATGCGCACACACGCTTCTGTGGAGCCTTTTCAAGTGAATGCGATAACAGGACGTGCCATCCCTGAGTCTGTTGCATGCCTGGTCAAGCTGGTGTCCTTGTCACACTGACAAAATTGGAGCTGATCACATGCTGTCATCAACACATCATCCCAGTGTCTCCCATGGCTACAGTCTGTCCACTCAGGGGTCTGAGGAGAGCTCTGTCCCCGGGGGCAGCTAGGATGATGGGCGGGGCTGCTCATCTGTGGCACGCCGCAGGGACCCCACTTAGGGCCCACAGACCAGTGAACCTCAGGGGTCTCCTTGCCAGCCTCCCTTTGCACAGGTGGGGAGACTGAGGCCAGAAGGAGGCCTGGTCCAGTATCCATCTCCCTCTGGGGTAGACCCTTGTTCAACCCTCTCTGACCGTCTGGCCTGTGCCTTCCAGATCCTGATTGGGCCTCCTACACCCTGGGGGTGTTCATCTGCCTGAGCTGCTCTGGAATCCACCGGAACATCCCCCAGGTCAGCAAGGTGAAGTCAGTCCGCCTGGACACCTGGGAGGAGGCCCAAGTGGAGGTATGGTCTGGGCATGGGGATGGAAGGGTGGGAGGAGACTGGGCAGTCATCCCCGTGCCCCAGGCTCCAGCTGAGGATATTGAGGGGCCGATGCTGCTCCAAGGAGGCTTGGGCTGGCCGGAACCTGAGGCGGGGGGGAGAGCCAGGAGCATCGGGCGGCCCAGGGGCTGGGCTGGACCTTAGCCCTTCCTGTGCAGCTGCCCCCACCCTCTCTCTCTGTCCCTGGGTGACTCCTACCTGCCTCCCTTTTGGCGCAGCTGCAGAGGGAATGAGTGAGTGAGTGAAAGATCACCAGAGGGACTGCCCACCCCTCAAGGGCAGCTCCCTGGGCTTTGGTCCCAAATCCCAACACCCCAGGACACTCGGTGCTCAGGGAACACCGCATGGAGCTGCTGTGCAGTGGGACAGGCCCTCTTGTTTTCAGAGGAGCCACAGAGTGTAACAAAAGTCACTCACTCACTCGCTCAGTCACACTCACGCACCCCTCCACCATTCATCCACCCACCATCCATCCATCCATCCTCCCATCCTCCCATCCTCCCATCCACCCACCATCCACCATCCATCCACCCACCTATTCATCCACCTGACCCATGTTTATTGCACACTCGCTGTGGGAGGGCTGGCCAGGTTGCTGGCCCCTGGAGAAGGCCTTAGGGAGGGGCAGGGCAGGGAGCAGACGTATAGGCAACTCACCCCTGGGCAGCTGGGGTGGCAGGCAGGGCCCCGCAGCCCAAAGGAAATGGAGAGGGAGGGGCACGGGCGGGGGGAAAGTTCCAGACAGAGGGACGTGGCTGTGGACACTGCACAGGTGGGTGCAGGAGGGCAGGGGGTGGTGGTGGAGCAGGTGGGCCTGACCCAGGTGGAGGCGTGGGGAGGGGGCCGGGGAGCCGCAGACGGAGGCCTCTGGCTGCCCGGATTCAACCGCAGGGTCAAGGGCATCAGGAGACACGGTGGCCGTCCAGTGAGAGAAGGTGCGGCTTGGACGGGGGCTGCCGTGGGGATGGGGGGGTCCAAGGTTGGTGGCCCCATGTGCACTCCCCCCACCAGAGAGTAACAAGTTTGCTGTTTTCAGTGTAATCTTGGTGGCATTGGCCTCCCCTGGGAGCTTGTTAGAAATGCAGAGTCCCGGGCCCACCCAGGCTTACCTGCCGAGTCAGAACCTGCGTTTAACAAGGGCATCCCGTGCACACCGCACATTCCCCGTCGTGTGGTTGGAAACATCCTCAACTCGACGGGCCAGACAGCAGGAGGGCCCACCTTGATGCCGCCATGGGTGGGTTCTGGGGGCCCAGGTCGGAGAGGACGCACACGGTGTGACGCAGTGTGAGGAAGGAGGGGAGAGGGACGCAGACACGCCTGTGCTGGGAAGCCTCTGGGTGCCACCTGCGGGTGCTCCTGGGGCTGACGCTGAGGGCAGGGAGGGGGTGATGGGGCCTCCATTGCCCTCGTGTGGTCTGCACCTCTGCTGGAGTAATTAAAACAAGGGGTGGTCTCAGGCCTGAGGGGCTGGCCTACAGGGTGCTGGACCCCACCCCGAGGGAGGGGCCGGGTCTCCCTGCCATCTGGCGGTGAATCCGTGTGGAAGGGGCTGCGCGGCCCCCTCACTCAGCACCTTCCTGGGGTGGGACCCATGGGCCCGACCGGGAGGAGCCCGCTGGCTGTGGGGCCGGGCGCCAGGCCCGAGGGGCTTTCTCAATGTTTCCCTTTCTTTTTGTGTCTTTTCCGTTTTTTCCCTGAACTTTATATTCTTCCAGAACATCTCTTTTAGAAACAGCTTTATTGAGATGTAATTCACACGCACATTTCCCCCATTTAAAGTGTGCATTTCAACGGTTTTTGGTGTATCCCCAGAGTTGTGCAACCATCACCACAGTTGACTTTTGAACATTTTCACTGCCCCAGAAAGAAACCCACCCTCTTTGGCTCCCACCCCACCCCCAGGCCTTTGAGCCACCCGTCTGCGTCCTGTCCCTTAGATCTGCCTGTTCTGGACATTCCACATGATGGATCCTACGCCACATGGGCTTGCGAGCCTGGCTTCCTTCACGGGGCACATTCTCAAGCTCACCCGCGTTGTAGCGCGTGTCAGGGCTCCATTCCTTCTCACAGGGGCTGAGGAAGCTCCCAGCAGGTGGGGCCCAGTTTTTCTTGTCCAGTCCTCCGTCTGTGGACACCTGGCTGTCTCCCCTCATCCGTGGATTTTGATAGTCTGGTCGTGTGTCTGCAGTCAGGGATCGCGTGTCTCGGAGACGCTCCCCGCGTTGACAGGCGTGTGGTGCTTTGGGCCGTCTCTCAGAGCCTCCCGTCCTCGCCTGGGCTGCCCGGTGCCCCTGTTGGGGGACTCAGTTTTTCTAACCAGGCCCCTCTGGATGGACATGATGGGCCTCGTGTTTTCCCCCTGTGACCACCGGGCCGGTGAGCAGCCTCGTAGGTGCATCTTCTTTACCGGTGGGAGCTGCTGGACGTCCGACCTCCTGGAGGTGGCAGTGTACCGGCAAAGGTCGTGTCACTGTCATTCCTGACAGGTTTTGCCAGACTTGCCATCGCAGCTGCTCCTCTGCCTCCCGCCTGTGGGAGGGCGTTGGCCCGCGTCCCTGCAGCCTGGCTCACCGCGCTCCTCCTCTGCTGATGGAGAGGTGGACGCTGCGTCCCCGGGAGTCTCCGCTTGGCAGTTCTTATCCAACACCGAGTGCGTGTCTTAGACTCGCTGGTTTGCTTCTCTGAGACGTTCTCTTCTGACCCTGGCTGCCTGGCTGCTGCTCTGCTGGGTGTGGTTCCCCAGGCTTCTTACAGACTGGCGAACGGAGCCCTTCGAGAGAGCAGCTGATGTTTTTTCTAGGTTGTTCGTCTTTTGACTTTGCTCACGGTGGTTTTCTGCAGTGGAAACTTTCTTACTCGGATGTAGTCAAATTTATCAACCTTGTCTTTTGTGGTTTAGGGTTTACCGCCTACTTAGATATGCCCGCTGTACCCTAGGATTATTTTTACTCATAACAGCTTTATTGAGATATAATTCACACACCAGACAGCTCACCCTTTCCGAGCGCACAGTTTGGTAGTTTAGTGAATTCACAGGGCTGTGCAGCCATGACCACTGTCTCATTTCAGAATATTTTCATATCTCAAAATAAACCTGTACCCACCTGGAGCCCTGCCCCATTCCCCACTGCCACCACCCCGCCCCTGGAGTGGAAAGACCTGCTTTCTGTCTCTGTGGGTTTGCCGATTCTGGACGTTTCACGTCAGTCAAACCACAGTCTGTGGCCTTGTGACTCTCCTCGCTCACCGAGCATCGTGTGTTCAAGGTTCGTCCGCATTGGAGCAGGAGTCAGCACATTGTTCATTTTGGGGGCTGAATCGTATCCCATCGTGTGGACACGCACATGTGGCTGATCCGTCCTTCAGGTGGCAGACATCTGGGTTGTCTCATTTTCCAGCTGTAATGAAAGCTGTGGCCGTGAGCATCCGTGTGCGAGTTTCTATGCAGGCACACATTTTCGCCTCTGCTGGAATGGAGCGGAATTGCTGGATCTTGCGGCAGCTCTGTGTTCACCATTTGAGGAGCTGTTTCCCCAAACAGCAGCACCTTCCCAGCGGCAATATGTGAGGGTTCCAATTTCCACACATCCTGCCAACGCTTGTTGCTGTCTGGCTTTAGCCGTCCTAAGGGGCGTGAGGCTGTATCTCGTTGTGGTTTTGATTGCTGTTTCCCTGATGGCTGAGGATGTTGAGCATGTTTCCCTGTGCTTCTTGGCCATTTGTATGTCTCCTTTGAAGAAATGTCCATTCAAATCTTTTACCCATTTTCAAAATGGGCCATCTTTTTATTATCGAGTTAGGAGTGTTCTTGTTATTGAGTAAGAGTTCCTCATATATCCTGGACACAAGTCCCTTATCAGATATCGTACTTGCAAATAGTTTTTCTCATTCTGTGGGTTGTCTTTTATTTTGTAAATAATAGGTTAAAAATGCAAAAAATGCAGTTTATATTCTTAGGGAGCTATCGATGTAGTTTTTTTTGTTATTCTTTGATTTTTTTTTGAGGAAGATTAGCCCTGAGCTAACATCTGCCGCCAATCCTCCTCTTTTTGCTGAGGAAGGCTGGCCCTGAGCTAACATCCGTGCCCATCTTCCTCTACTTTATATGTGGGACGCCTACCACAGCATGGCTTGCCAAGCAGTGCCATGTCCACACCTGGGATCCGAACTGGCGAACCCTGGGCCGCCGAAGTGGAACGTGCACGCTTAACCGCTGTGCCACCGGGCCGGCCCCACAAAAGTCTTGAATTTTGATGAAATTCCATTTATTTAGTTTTTTTCCTTCATTGCTTGTGCTTTTGGTGTCGTATCTGAGAGCCCATTTCCTAGTCCAAAGTCACGAAGATTTCCTCCTATATTTTCCCAAAATCACTTTTAAGATTATCCTGTCAAAACCGACTACGGTGGAGCTATTTTAAACAGAGTTGAAGCTGCCTTTCCAGAGAGATGGCCTTGCTGTCCCAAACCTTAGACGCGCCAAACCTCCGGACAGGCCCGCAGTGGCCCCGGTCTAACCAGCAGCTTTTGACAGTCAGCGGGGGAAGCACGTCCTGATCACGACGACAGGATGGCGATTGTGAAGACGGAGCCGGCGGGCAGCAGCGTTTCCTGAGACTCGCCCTCTGCCTCCCGCTGCCCTGAAAACTGCCTGGGGGACGGCGTCCCTGTGTGGCCTTCAGAGGCTCCGATTTACCACCTGGCGGGACACGGTTTGGGTTTCCACCTGAGTCCCTGCTCCCCAGGTTGCACTTCTCTGACCCCGAATAAACTTTTTGCTTCTCTTGCAGTCTTCCTCTTACTCATGGACAATCTCATGATTTTTTATCCACTACTTTTACTGTTTAAGTTTGGAAATTAGATCCTCAGTTCAGTTCACAGAAATCGCGCCTCCACCTCTCCTCCTCCTCCCTAACCCGTTGATCCTCCGCTAATGGGCGTTTCCCTGTCCATCTGAGATGTCGCTGAGATGGAGCCTGACTTGATCGTGCTGAGGCTGATGCCGGGTGTTGGATCCTATGGATCCTCTTCTGGCCTCCCAGCCTGTCCGCTGAGCCGGGCTTTCTGGGCAGGACTGTTGTCCTTAGAGCAGCATTTTAACAGGTTTTACTAAATGGTGGAACGAGTCTGAATTTTCTAGCATATTTTTGCTTGTTAATTTAAAAATGAACCTTAGAATCATTGCTAGCTTTAAAAAATTCTATTCCTGGTTTTCTTTTCTTTTCTTTTTTTTTTTTTTTGAGAATCGCAAAAAACATAGAGATCAACCCAGGGAGGCAGCCTGTCTCGCCTTCCCGGAACGGGGGTCTCTGTTGCAGGTTCCCTCTGTGAGCCCAAGAGCATGTCATTTGTTCTTTGTAGGGGCTTTGGCCATTTCTCATCTGGCTGATTCTTAGGTGTTTTGCCTTGTTGCTTCATAAATGGGTCTTTCCTTTGTGATATCTGCCAGCAGACTGATGTTTTATATAGAAAAGCGATTGAACTCAGGATTGTAGTTCAGCACCAGCCTTTTGCTGAAATGTCTTAGTGCTTATGACTTTTTCCAATTGATCCTCTTGGTCCTCTGAGCTCACAATCCAATGGTCCTGAAGGTGCAGTGACTTTAGAGGGAAGGGTCTCTCTCGGGGGACCGGGAGGCAGCAGGAGCAGAACACAGGAACCCCTTCCCTGCCCCGTCCTCGGGGCCCCTCCTGCCCTGCTCCCCACCAGCCTCAGGGCCTTTGCACGTGGCATTTCCCCGTGCAGGGACACCCTCGTGTGTGGCCTCCTGAGAGCCCTTCCCGTCACCCCCCTTGCGTGCACACCCTGTGTCTGTCCTTCTAAGCCTGTTTACTGTTGTTGTCACACTCTGGTCTCTGCTGTCAGTCTGCCTCAGAGGAGCTGGGCTTCACCTGGGCCGGAGCTGGCTCTCATGCTCTGCAGCCTGTGTGGGGCACATGTTAGCTGCTCCCCAAATACGGGTCCAATGAGTGACTAAGCCAGGCTCCGTGAGGCTGAGATGGGGCATCTGGGCTGAGGGAGCAGCTCTCTGGGTGGGCGCTGCCGCGGGGCAGCCTGGGGTCTGCAACAGGGACAGAGCTCCAAGGCCGTGCTCCGCTGGGGCTCCCCTCTGCCACCCTCTCCAGGCCCCTTCCTAGGGACCTGGCCCCTCCCCCTGCCCTCCCCCTCACTCCAGCGGTTCCCTGGGACACAGGGGGACTGGGAGTTGCCGTCCAGCAGTGGCCGAGCCCTCGGGGCCCTGGGGTTGTCCTGGCGCCCGCCCCCAGCCTCCAGGCGCTCTGACCGGTCCTCTCTCTTGCAGTTCATGGCCTCCCACGGGAACAATGCTGCGAGAGCCACGTACGAGTCCAAAGTGCCCTCTTTCTACTACCGGCCCACGGCTTCCGACTGTCAGTGAGTAACAAAGGGCTTTTGTCAGGGTCGCTGGTAAACAGCACGGGGCCGGAGACGGCTCTGCAAGGACCCGCGGGGCAGGCAGGGCTGCCCAGAGTGAGCGGGCAGGGGCCACGCGGGCGTGCGGCTCTGTCTCCACCCTCCTCCCGCTGGGTTTTGGCTCTTGGCATGGTGGCCAGCGGCCGGAAGGAGGGTGGGGACCGACATTTTGCAGTTAGTAGCTGCAGCCACCTGGGTTCCGGGGGCAGCGGGGGTCTTGCCCGGCGGCTCAGTGTGGGTTTCAGAGGTCCCCGTGGGCAGTCCGGGAGGAGGATGCTGAGGCGCTGCTGTGCGTGTGGCTCGTGCTGGCTCAGCAGTGCAGGCGTGGACACGGGGAAAGTCAGACCCTCTCCCACGTGGCCCCCGGCGGCCGGAGGCTGGCTCGGGTGACCTCGCATCAGTCACTAACGTCTCTGAGCCTCGGCGTCCCCATCTGCCTTTCTGTGGGCGTCATGAGGTGACAGTGCTGCAGACTTTGCATGGGGATCCCCGCCCCCAACCTCTGGCATCCCCTCTCCCGTTCAGGCTGGACGGCCCTGCCATTTGTGCAGGCTGTTCCTACCCCGAGCCCTCACCAATTCCCCAGCGACACCCCCAGCACCCTGGGCCTGTCTGTTTTGCTCCCTCTGTTCTGCCTTCGGAGGAGCCCCTTCCTCCGGCCACTCAGAGCTGGGGGGCGGGCGCTGAGCACTTTCCTTCTTGGGTCCTGTGGGCTGGGGGCTCCTCCATGGGAGGGGGCCCCTCGGATTCTCTCTTCCCAGTGCCCAGCACAGGGCAGGCACCCCTGTGAGGTTCTGGGGGTCAGGGGTGACTGTGAGGGACCTATGGACCCAGGTTCTTGGGGAGGGGCTTTGGGGTGGGGCTGGGCTCCCAGCTGACTGGTCGGGCTGAGCCCCAAGGGAACATCCCCCCCACCCAGGGGCCGTCTCCTGCTCCTTCCACTGGGGCTGCTGGGAGATGCTGCCTGCTGCCCCTGTCACGGGAGCTGTTGCTCAGGCCGGCCGTCACCTCCAGACGCCTCCCTCTCTGGCCGTGGCCTCGGGGCCTCCTCCCTGACCGTGTCTTGCTGGCTCCCTCCTCCTCCCCAGGACTTCTAACCTCCTGAGCCAGCCTCCTCCCAGCCCTGGGCCTTCCTTCCCCAGGACGCCCATGGCCCTCTGTCCTCCCAGAGCCCGACCGTCCCCCAGCCCAGAACCTGGGATGTGTCTCCACGCAGGTGACCCCCATTCCTTGGGCAGCTGGACAGCTCTCGGCCGCCTGTGCAGGGCAGGTGGCCCTCCTCCAGAACGTCCTTCCTCTTGAGAAGGGGATAAGGACCTGGCCCACCGCCCCCCGGCCAGGCCCTGCACTCCGGCCCCTCTGGCTCCCCATCACAATGGCCCACCCTGTGAACCGACCCGCGGCTGGGCACCTGGGAGGGCTTGGCAGCATCTTCTCCATGAACCGCACAGAGCCAGGGACGGCCCATTCAGGTCCCCGCCTCACAGACGGGACTGAGGCCAGCAGCTCCCTAGAGGCTTCACCTTCCCACATGTGACGTCTGCTCCTTCACCCTCATGGTGGGCCTGGGCCGCCCCAGCACGGAGCGGTGTCACAGCCTGAGACGCCAGCCACGGCTCCAGGCTCCCAGCGAGTGGGCCCCGCAGGCCTGCCTGGCCGGGTGGGAGGCAGCTGCGTCTGGACAGGATGCTCTGGGTCTGTGCGCACGGGCCCCACCTCTCCCACTCTCTGAGCTGCTAGGAGGACAGACTGGGTCCCGGGCCTCGGGCCTTACCAGGATGCTTGGCCGATCTCCCTCCGTCCTGGTCTCTGGAAGTGCTCATGGAGACCATGCATGTCCCTCCCAGGGGCTGCAGGTGACCAGGTTCCCCGGGAGGGAGCGTGCTCTGAACCCTAGGTGGGACCTGCCCACCTGATCCTCCACTAGGGAGAGGTGCATGGAGCAGAGCCTGCCCTGTCCACACGCACGGTAGGCATAGGCCAGCCCAGGCCAGGCCAGGCGGACCAGGAGAGCGTCGATGCTGAGCATAAGGTCTACAGCTGTGGGGCGGTGGGTGGTGTGGACTGAGTCCCATGTGGACTGTGGAGCTGTGGGGCGGTGGGAGGCGTGGACCGAGTGCTGTGTGGACTGTGGAGCTGTGGGGCGGTGGGAGGCGTGGACCGAGCGCCGTGTGGACTGTGGAGCTGTGGGGCGGTGGGAGGCGTGGACCGAGCGCCGTGTGGACTGTGGAGCTGTGGGGTGGTGGGAGGCGTGGACTGAGTCCCATGTGGACCGTGGAGCTGTGGGGCAGTGGGAGGTGTGGACTGTGGAGCTGTGGGGCGGTGGGAGGTGTGGACCGAGCCCTGTGTGGACTGTGGAGCTGTGGGGCGGTGGGAGGTGTGGACCGACTCCCTCTGTAGACTGTAGAGTGCTGTGGAACAGTAGGAGGTCCCCTTTGGGCCCGTGATGTAGACTGTGGGGTGCAGCTCCCTGATTTGCACGCTTTGGTCAGGCTCCTTGCAGGGTCAGCGCTGCAGCAGCTCCAGGGAGACAAAGGCTTGCAGGCCTCGGTTTCCCCAGCTGTGAGGTGGGGAGGGTGGGCAGCTGCGGGGGTGTTGTGAGGATGGAGATGGCGCCGGGTGGCAGAGTCTGGCCCAGGGTGGGCTCCCAAGGACTGTTGATCCCCCCCCCACCTGTCTGAAGCCCCGAGCCCACCTGGCGAGCTGGGATAAGGATCAGAGGGTCGGGCCACGTGGTCGTTTCAGCGGCGGGCATGGCTCAGGAGGCCGGGACGCAGGCTCTTCCTGTGTCACCTGCACCCTGGAGTTTCCGTCCCCACATCGGGGAAGGACAGTCATACTGGTGGCTCTCGGTTTTACTTCTGATGGAAACCAGCCCCTCCCTGCTTCCTGTGTGACCCGCGGGAGAGGCCTGGGGCCCACGGGGCCACGGAGCCAGCAGCCCCCCGCTTCCTGGCAGCCACGTGTTCCAGGAGAAGTCCCAGAGCCCCGAGCTCCCCAGGGCCCCGGCAGGCGGAGCGCCCCCCCTGAAGAGGCTGGGTGCTGGCTTCCTGGGGCCGCGGTGACTCAGCTCCACCGCCCGGCGCTGCAGCCACAGGGTTCACCGTCTCACAGGCCCGAGGCTGCAGCCACAGGGTTCGCCGTCTCACAGGCCCGAGGCTGCAGCCACAGGGTTCACCGTCTCACAGGCCCAAGGCTGCAGCCACAGGGTTCACCGTCTCACAGGCCCGAGGCTGGAGCCGAGATCCACAGCACAGGGTGGGTCCTCTCTCCTCGCCTGCAGATGCCGGCCTCTCCCTGTGTCCCCCTGAGTCGTCCCTCCGTGCGTGTCTGTGACTCACCTGGTCTTTAAGGGCACGGGTCAGACTGGGTTGGCCACCCGACTCCAGGCGACCTCATCTTAGGTCATTAATCTGCCGCCAGTTGTCTGCCGGTAGGGCCAGTCTGAGGGCCGGGGGCGAGGACTCCAGCATCCTTTGTCGAGGGGGATGTAGTTCAACCCATCACAGCCTAGACACACAGATGAAATGCTGGGTGGCCAGGTTCCCTCAGGAGGCGGGGGCCCCGGGGCATGGGGCGGGCGGACGCGAAAGCTGCGGGGGCCCCGGCGCTTAGTGAGGGGATAGTGTGTCCTCTCTGTTTTCCCCTGGTACAAAGGAGAGAAAGAAACCCCCTTGGGAGCTGCTCACTGTGCAGAAGGGGAAACTGAGGCCCTGGGGGGGGTCACCTCCCCAGGAGGGAAAGCCCACCCCTGGGCCTCCAGGCAGGTGTCCTAGAACACGTGACTCAGAGGGTGATGGGATGCAGAGAGAAGGCGTCAGTAAGCACAGTCGGACGCCAGGCCCCCAACAGTGGGCCGGCAGGTGGGTGCGCCCCATAGCCGCTCTTGTCCATGGCTCGTTGGCAGGTGTGGCCACCCCTCGTCACAGGGCTGGGCGTGTCGTGGGTACCCTGTGGGTGCTTCCCTGGTCCAGGAGGCTGGGCCAGATGGCCTCAGGAGCCCCCAGGGACAGGCTGGCACTGATACCCTGCAGGGCGAGTGGTTCGGGATAGCTCTGCCAAGCGGGCGGGTGCTCCCTCCTGGTTCCTGCTCCCAGGGCTGCCTCCTGCTGCTGCTTCTGGAAGCTCCCGTGCCAGGCCCAGGAGGCCCTTGTGTGCAGGTGTGAGCCATGGGACTGGCATCCATGCCAAGGCAGTAGCCCCAGACCTCCTGGGTCCCATTTCTGATGGGCATGGACAAGGCCACAGGACGGCTGCCAGCTCCCTTGATGTCCGCCAGGCCCCTGGCTCACACACGTGTGACGTTGGGTCCTCCCCGGCTCTGAGAGGCCAGGCACGTTTCCCCGTGTTACAGATGTGACACTGGGCGCGAGAGGGACTCACTCCCCAGGGTTGTCAGGCTAGCCCCCCATAGGGGGTGGAGTGGTGTCTCTCCCCAAAGTCAAGTCAAGTCCCAACCGCGGGACCTGTGAAGGGACCTTATTTGGAAATGGGGTCCTTGCAGATGAGATCAAGTGCGGGATCTCCAACGAGATGATCTGGCTTTAGGGTGGGCCCAAATCCAATGGCAGCTGTCTTCGTAAGAGAAAGGAGAGGGAGCCTGAGAGGGACACACAGCGAAGCCACACGACGACGAGGCTGAGATGGGAGTGGTGCGGCCACAAGCCCGGGAAGCCGCAGCCGCCAGAAGCTGGAGGGGCCTGGAGCAGAGTGTCCTGAGCCTCTCCAGGAGGAATCGGCCTGCAGTCCAGGGTTAGACTTCTGGCCTCCCGGACCCGGAGAGGGTCCATCCCTGTTGTTTCAAGACACCCCGTCTGGGGTGATTAGTTACAGCAGCCCCAGGACACGCATGCTCACCGGTGCATGGAGCCAGGGCCCCAGAGGCAGGCCAAGGGTGCGAGGCGGCCTCTGGAGGACTGGGGGATCCCGGCGGACCTGGGTGCGACCCCAGCTTCGTGCCTGACCACCCGGGCCCAGCACGAGGCCAGAGCTCTCCTGTTCTGTTCCGTGTTCGTGACCAGACACGGAAGAGCCGGAAGCTGGGGAGCGGGGCCAAGGCTGCGCCCGCCCTCCACCTCGCACCGGGCTTGTGTTGTCCTCAGAGGGGCGGCCATCTCCGTGGTGACGTCACTTTATGCTCACGTGGGCAGAGGCAGGAGTGGAGGCGTGGCGGCCTCTGGGGACAGGGGTCTTGGCGCAGCAGCTGACGGTGCCGTCAGGGACCTGGGGCGGCCCCTCGGGGCCTGCAGTACTTTGAGTCTGCGTCCGACAGTTTCTTCCTGATCCCTGTGGGGGCCACCCAGCCAGGGGACAGTCAGGGGCAGCTTCCTGGCCTTCAGGGGTCCTGACAGTGGCTGGCACTGTCCTCAGAGCCACCCTCCAAGGCGGTGCCAGGGGGCCATCTCCCAGGTGACAGGGTCAGGGTTCTGGGCTGGTCCCCTGAGTCTGCAGAGACGGGGGAGGGGCCAGGCACATCTGCTGGTCCTCCGCGCCCCGTCCCGCAGGGGGCGCAGGCTGAGGGGAGGTGGGGACCCAGAGGGACAGCCTCAGAGGACACCAGGGCCAACATCTCCAGGATATTTGGGAATCCAGGTGAGCTGTCCACCTGGCCCCGCAGAGGGGTTCGTCAGAGGAGCAGGAAGATCGTGTCCGTGCCCTGGGACCTTACAGCACAGAGCTGGGCAGGACCACAAACCCCAGAGGCCGGAGAGTCAGCGAGTGCAGCCTGTGAGAGCGGCATGGGAATGCCACGGAGCAGGTTCAGCAAGGGTCTGGGGAGGTGGGGTTGGGTGTCAAGGCCAAGGTCATGGAGGCCCCCCCCCCCCCCCCCCACCGTGGACATTCAAGCTTGGAGATGAGGAGGTGTGGGGGCTGCGGGGGGCACAGGTGGGCAGGGGCTGAGTGGGAGGAATGGGGAGGAGGCAGCATGCTGAGCAGGGGATGGAGATGAGGTCAGGGCCATGGGGGTCACAGAGGGTCTTGTCGGCACTGGAAGAGCTGAGTGGAGGACTGTGGAGGGCATTGAGCCGAGGGCACAGTTGCCTTGTGTCCATCTGGCTCCCTGGGGAGAACAGACCCTGGGGGGCGGCCTGGGAGGAGGGAGGTGGCAGCCCGGATGAGGGCAGAGGGGAGGCTGAGCTAGGTTTGCTGATAATCAGTGCGGGGCCTGGAGGAAGGAGTGGTAGGCTTGTGCAGCCCACCAGGGAAGGGGCCCCCCTGCAGAGCGAGCCCCTCCTCTGCCGGCCTGGCCTTCCCTGGCTGCTGCCCTCTCGAGCCCTCTGATCTACTGTGCCCTGACTACAGCTTCCCTGATGAGGGTCGGTGCTGGCCCAGGCCAGGTGCGGGCGGGGCCCCCCAGCTCTCTCTGCCAGAGCCCACCCAGCAGACAGATGCTGTGTTCCCTCACGGGGCAGGGGCCTCTTCCTTCTCTACATCCTAGTGATCAGCTGAAGGGAGGTGGTCAGTGGGATAGGAAGCAGCCGTGGGAACTCGCCACGCCATGCCGACCCAGAGCACGTGCTCCATGGGGACGCCAGTCCTAAAAGGCCACACACGCACGGCTCCATTTACAGGAAGTGTCCAGAACGGGCAACTCCAGAGCCAGGAAGTGGACTCGTGGTTTGGGGGGGCGGGAGCAGGGGGTGACTACGGATGGGTACAGGTTTCTATTTGGGGTGATGGAATGTTCTGGAACTGGGTAGTGGTGAACATGCCATGAACCCTGAGTCGACCACTTTAAGTGGGTGAATTATGGTATGCAATTGTACCTCAGTTTTTAAAGGCAGGGTGTTAAGTGGTGAAACTGGTGAGCAAATGCTTTTAAAAATGGAAGCTGCAGCCCTTCTGGCCAGTGTTTGTGGCCACCCTCCTGACCACGGGGCTTCCAGGGCCGGGTGCCCACAGGGCCCCAGGAGCGGCCCTCGGCCCCGCTGTCAGGCCCAGGGAGCGTTCCCCCGCCCTCCGCCAGCTGGGTCCCGGGCTCCCGGCTTACTGTCCCCTCTCTCTGCAGACTCCTGCGGGAGCAGTGGATCCGGGCCAAGTACGAGCGGCAGGAGTTTACGCGCCCCGAGAAGCAGGAGCCATACTCTGCAGGTGAGGCCACAGGGTCTCTGCCTCTGTCTCTGTCTGTCCGTGTCTCTCTCTCTGTCTCCGTTCCCTCCCCATCTCCCCGGAGCCGGCAGAATCTCTGGGATCCTGCAGCCGCGCCTCTGCTCCGGGTGAGGGCAGGGGGAGGGTCCTGGCAGGGGGAGGGGTGAGCGGGCACACAGCAGAGGCAGCACCAAAGCCAGGGGTGGGCCAGGCCACCCGGTGGTCCCGTCAGCACGGGGAGTGATGCCCGTTCTGAGCACAAGGAAAACCAGCCAGGTGGTCAGATGCGAGGTGGCTCCAGAGCCCATCGGAGCAACCCCGTATCCCACCACACGGCCGCGCAGGGCCAGTGGTCCTGAGTCCAGGGGCTGTGGGGCCAGGAGGGGCTCTGCGTGCAGCCGGCACACCCTCGGAGCAGCCCCCCCATCCCCTGTCCCCGCCCCCCTCGTGTGGCCTTGATTCAATTACCATCGCCCTTGCAGCGTCTCCTTCCCTCCCCACGGTCCCTAATGAGAGAGCAAGGGCAGCACACGGGCATCTGCTGTCAGCGCAGGGTCTGCGCATGCTCCGTCCCTGCCTGACACCCGGCCTGCCGGCCCCGGGAGCCCCGGGAAGGCCCCAGAGCAATTCTGTCTCCCAGGCGTAAACCTGTCAGCGATCCATACAGCGCTGTGTGGCCTCCTTTCAGAGGCGGTGCAGGGTGGCTGACCCTGCATCACAGAATGCTGTGTCTGTCCTCCCGTCGGGACATCTGGTTGTAAGTGACAGGAATCCACCTCAGCTGGGTGTAAAGAAAACGCGAATGGGATTGGCTCACATAATTGGAGCGGCTCCAGGCACAGCTTGATCCAGGGGTTCAGTTGGTGTTGTCAGGACTTGGCTTCCATGTTTCCACCTCTGGTTCTGCTTCCCTGGGTTAGCACCAACCCTCCTGGTGGCAGTTCTGCTCCATCAGAGATGGTCAGGGATGGCTGGTCTGGACGGGCGTGGGACCCAGTCACGATGACCAGGGGGGTATGGTGTGTGCCTGCCTCTGGAACTGGGAGCAGTCCTCTCGAGAAAAAGTGGGATCTGGGTTCCAGAAGTGGGGGTGCACCCAGGGCGGCAGAACCCACAGATCTGAGCCATCACAGGCGTTTGGAGAGTGGGGTCTCCAGGGGCATCTGGGTGTCGGTTCCAGGTGCTCAGGTTGGCTGAGGCCAGCAGAGCCCAGAGGTGTGACGGCTGTGGTGAGCTGGGGGACCGCGCCCCCCGCCCCTGCCCGTGGTTCCTGCTCAGATGCTGCCTCCAGCTCCCGCATCGTCCTGCCCTTCCTCTCATGGGCCGTCCCCAGTCCCCCGGGAGCGTGTGAGACGTTGGCGGGCCGACAGAAGTTTGCGGGGACCCTAGCAGCATCTGAGCGGCTGGCCTTTGAAGGCCGTGGCTGTGAGGAGGCTGCGTCTCTGTCAGGCCGTCCCAGCCGGCGGGAGCAGCACCCCTGTTACTGTCACTTTTGCCCGTTGCCCGGAAAGCCGGTCACGAGCAGAGGGAGGGTTAGCTCACAGGAGGCCAAGCGAGGAGGTGGGAGAGTGAGTCTCCAGCCGGCTCCCTGAAAATGGGGGCTCAGGGTACTCGTGGGGTGCAGGGCGAGGTGGTGGGAAGTGTGCAGATAGATGATCTGGGGTGAGCAGCGGTGAGAGATTGATGGTCTCCGCGCCTCTGCACGGGACGCATGCTCATCACATGGCACGTGACACATCTCAGGGCGGGGCTTTTAGCCTCTGGGCGTCTAAAGGTTGCCTGTCGGACGTCTGCGCAGCCCAGTTGATGGGTCAGTGGTCTCAACTGGCCTGGAGTGGACACAGGGTCCTGATTCCTGGAAAACAGCTCACGCACCCATTGCCGGGGCGACCCAGGCCCGGGGAGGTGTCTGCAGGAGCCGGGGGGAGTTGGGCAGCAAGTCGCCGGAACAGCCCGTCAGCCACGCGGCGGAACGGCTAGAACTGCAACCGGTCATGGCACGGAGGAAGGAACTTTGGTTACCAGCCACCGAATCCTCCAGGACTGAGCTGTGTGCCGGTTTCCCCCCGAGCCCCCTGGACAGCTGCGCGGCCCCGTAGGGATGTCGTCCATCTGGACACAGGGTGCCCACCCTTCACAGTGAGGACAGCCCAGGGAGGTGGGCGAGTGTGGCTGGGGCTGCGGCCACAGAGAGAGCACTCGGGGGCTTCTTGTGGGGGCTGCCGGGCAGCGGGGGCGCGGACGTGACTGTGTGGACCCCGCGTGAACCACCCCGCAGAGGACAGCGTCTTGAGGACCTGCTGGAGGGGCGGCGCTGGCGTCCTGGACCACTCGCTGTGCGCTGGGTCCTCATCCTCAGCCGCGTGGGAGGCAGCGGCCCAGTGTGGCTCTCACCCTGAAGGGCAGAGTGGGGCCTTCTGGCCCTTTCCGCTTGTGGCCTCTTACCTCTGAGTGCCTGGCCCCTGGCCTGGCCCCGAGGGCTCCCTCTCATCGAGGCGACCCTGGCCTCAGCTCCGCTCCTCCAGAGCCAGTGCAGAGGCCCTTCCTGCAGCCCTCACGTCCCGCCCCCGAAGCTCGCCCGCCGCCTCCCCAGGCCCCAAGTGGTCATGTCCATGCCCCCCTACCCCGGCCCAGCCCTGCAATTCACAGAAACAGAGCCCTGGGGCCATCAGCTTGTGTCCTGCCTCCACCGAGGTCCTCACGGGGCCACCATCGGGGCAAGGCCACCTCAGGGTCATGTGGGGAGGTGCCCAGTACGCTGGCTGAGAGCCCCAGGTCCTGGCACCGCCCCGCTCTGGGGACCCAGAGGGGCCTGAGCCGTGGTCCTGTGTGTGGGTCCTGCTGGAGCAGCCCCTAAATCTCACCGGCTCGCTGCAGAGGCCTCCCCTCTCCTCCCGCCCCCGATCTCCTCCAGGAGTGGGGCAGCATGCGGGAAGCCCCAGGGGCACCGCCCCCTCAGCCCAGTGCCCCAGACCCGCGTCATGCCCAGCACGCGGCAGGGTGGAGGGGCAGCAGAGCCCAGCATCCAGGGCGGCCGGCCCGCGTCCAGGGCAGGAGGGCAGGTGGAGCAGACGCGCCAGGACCGGCCGGCCACCCCGGAGCTGCCCCGTCCCTGTGGGTCCTCCTCAGACGCCCCTCCCCGGCCGTGAGGAGCAGCGGGGGGTTTCCAGGCGCCTCCCTCTGGCTCCCCATTGGCCGCAAGACACACCCCCTGGCCCACACGAATGCAGAAGTGCCCTGTGCGTCTGCGGAGGAAGGGGAAATGCAGTGTGGAGGTGAGGCGCCCGGCCTGACCTGCCCGGAGTGGGCTGGAGCCATGGGCCGCCCCGCGGGGTCGCAGGGCCGGCCGCCGTGTGCTGTGTCGGGAGCCTGTACCGTCAGCTTGGGTGTGGTGCCCTGGGGTGTGGGGAGTGGGCACAGCAGCGTGCACCTGCCGCCAAGGCCTGTCACCCTGCACAGCTGCCCGGCCTCGGACCGCGCTCAGGGCGTCCCAGCAGGGAGAGTCCGGCCCCCGGCATCCAGGAGCTCCTGGGACCAAACAGACAGTTCAAGCAACAAAACAAATGACGATAGAGGATTTTAACCCAGAGGATAAAGTACACGCCAGAGTCCGTTCCCAGATGAAGAAAGAACTGAGTCAGTCCGTCACAGGGGAGAAGGGACGACTCCTTCTCACAGAATTCCAGCGAGTGAAGGCGCGAGAATCGAGGGATGCGGGAGGTGGCCAGCAGTCGGAGCCCCGGGGACTGGGAGCAGACCAGACCGTGGCGGACGCCCAGTCGGCGGTGGAGTAGGAGGGGCGGGATTTACCTGGTGTCTTCCCGAGACGCTGACCAGGACAGAGGGGAAGTAGCACCTTCCCGGGGGGGACCCAGCAGCCCCCTTCTGGGGGGACCGAGGGGCGTGGACGATGCGCACTGAGAGCCACAGTTCACCTCAGCTGAGAGGAGATGCCACGTGAGCCCGGCCCCGGGACCCTGGACGGGACAGCGACCGCGTTCCGCAAGATGCCGAGGCTGTGGAACGCACGGCAAGATGGGGGACCGTCAGAGGCTGCCAGCGGCCGGGAGTCACGCCACGTGCCGCACCATCTGGACGGCAGCCTGGGGCTGGGGGACATTAGAGGGACCTCGGTGGACGGGGCGGAAGTTGTCAGCAGTGTTGCCCAAGCTGACTGTGGCTTTGATAGCTATACTGTGGTCAGGCGTGTGCTGATGCTGGGGCCGGCCCACGCGGTCGGGAGCCTGCCGCGTCCCCCGCTCAGTCACTGCACATGTGCGTTCCCACCCACTGACAGGCTGGGCGGGACCTGGCACCCCGCGTGGCTGAGTCTCACGGGACCTGGTGGCAGGGAGGGCGCGGGCCGGCCTGTGGCAGCAGGGGCTGGGGTCCAGGTGGCCCCGGACAGGCGGGTGCTGACCTGGCACTCCCCACCGCCCACACTCCATGCCGCCACCTCAGCCGAGGTCCTGGGTGTGGGGAGGAGCCTGCACCCCCATGATAACGGGGCCTCTTGGGCTGGGCGCGCCCCCACCTGCCCCACCCCAGGCCCTGCTCGCGGGGGCTGACCCTGGGTACAGCTGCTCCTGGCTCCCTCCCCACACTGGCTCCGTCTTGAGCCAGAGTCTCAATGGCTGCCTTTCAGGCCGGACAATGCCCCCTGTTGTCCAGAGGGCCAGGCCGCCCCCAGTCACCGACAGACACAGCGCTTCCTGCGAGGCGTCGGGCCCCCGTTCCTCCCGTGGGGTTATCCTCTCCCTGCCTCCTCTCCGCCGGTCCCCGCCATGGGTTAGGGTACTGCCTCCTGAGACACCTGGCTGTGCAGTCAGTGCTGTCCTGCCTGGGTCCCAAATGTCACAGGGAGAGCTGAGTGCTCAGAGGCAGGTGGGGCCAGGGCCTCACTGAGTGACAGAGTCCACCCCCGTGCCTCGGTTTCCCCATCTGTGCAGTGGGGAGGACATGGTGCCCAGTGCAGGGTTGTTGTTGGGACATCAGCTGTGGGG